AACGACTACATCTGTTGAAATGCAATTCTGATAATGGAGAGAGTGAGCTGACACTAGGATTTAGGTTCTCAACATTTCTTGATTCCCTTTTCAGCTTTAAGCACTCCAGGCATAAAAGTGTTTCTACCTATGATAGCGCCTTGGATTCATAACTAATAAAGTAAATTTGTTTGGCCACGGTACCTCAATCTACCACTTCGTTGTTGAAGCAGATCCGCCTCGTATTCAAAAGACCTCTACGAAGAATGTTGAAGTCACTTAAACATAATTGCACCGAGCGATTTCATAGACTGGTGTTTTAAGAATGACCTCTTAGTGTGAATCAACCTAATCCATCCTAGTGTCAAGCGATATATTTCATTTGTTGCCCACCCACAGGCTCCTCTATATATACCGCCCTTTTTGGAGCTTACATGCAATTACTGCATAATTTCCCACTGAACCAGTGAGAATAGACAAAAATACTGAGACCAGTCTATTAAAGACCTACTTTACTCCCCTGTCAATTGTTCGTTGAATTTATCGTGCTCTGTCAAATTGCAGCCTTCACACTGGCTTCGAGTAATACTGTACATATTGCACTTTAGTATTAACTCTAAGCGACCAAACAACTCCACTTTTGAATTAAATGCTGAAACTTTGATGTAATACACTAGAGATGATCGTCAGGTCACTCTTGACTTAAGGGAACCTATGCGTTTCTATCATTTAACAGGTTGAGTGTTGCCTAATTGGAGTTCTCACCCTGGCTCAACTGATTTACATTACGTGAATTCATGGTATCCTCTCGATAGTGCAGCCAATTTGGGCGTGGACATTGTGCATTCATCTCACCCATTGCAGTCTCTTAGCATTCTCTCAGACGAATGAAAAAGTGGTGGCTGTGTGCTCCTCAGAGCGCACTGTTTGTTGATACTGTAACATTCCTAGATACAGCGTATGTAAGGAAGTAGGTACGACAGGAGTAAGACACTAGTTCCTGGCAAACTTGTCGGCCATGAAAATTCAACAACACGTTCGTACTTGGAGACCTGAAGGCGTAAGGCTTTATAAGCCGTGAAGATAATCGCTGTCTCATTTGAACCCCGTTTAAAACAATACAAACCGATTGAGATAGATCTGTAGCTTCGTACACGATTCCACTGTACCGCCACAGGGCTGAAATTGTAGAATTTATTTCGTATCATTAGCCAGAGCCCCTGAGCAAAACGGACTCCACGTCTGCAAACAAGACCTACCCTGCCTATGCCACTCGGTAGTTTAAACTGCCGCATTTCAATGCTGGGTACTGGAAAGTGTTCTGCTATTCACAATTCCCTAGCCTAGCAAAACTCCACAACTCTTCACGCCCTTTTTAAGCGCAAAGAAGATATGAACGTGCCAGAAATAATCAAACATTGTATCGTTTAAATAGCCATAAATCTTGGAGAGAACAATTAGAAAAAAAGAATTGATTAAAAACCGCGATAAGTTGGTGATAGGGGAGGGGAATGCATCAAAGCGACTTCTTAACAAGGGCCAAATCAGCGTCCACCATGAGGTTGACTAGTGATTCGAAGTCCGTTTTTCGAACCCATTTCAGCTCCTTTTCAGCCTTTGAGCTGTCACCTATCAAGAGGTCCTGGATTGCGAAGGAGAAATGAACGAAGGTTTATGCAAACAACACAGATGCCTGAACCAAAAAGACGATAGAAAAACTTACTACTTCTGTAGGTCTGAAGTAGTTAGGATTAACGCGAACACGTACTTTTCCTGTGGCCTTGTCTTTACCGATCTCATCTAGACCCGACCCCTCCCATCTGAATTGCAAAGAGCAATCGCATAAGCACAAACACAGCGGAATTATTACGTGCAATGTGGACTACATAACTATAAGGTGATCAGCTTACGAATTTACTTATCGTTGAGGAAACCAAAACGCTTTTTGGGTACAATAAACAAGTTAACTTTAAATTTCCCAAAAGAACGGCAAGTGCTCTCTGTCCATTGCATTTCATGGTTCTCAAAAAAGGAAGCAAACACGTACTCTATTTGAATACCTGCACGAGCAAAGGCTTTAGTGGCAAATTCGCGAACACTATGCTTCTCGCCCGAGGCAATAACGAAATCCATCGGTTTCTCCTGTTGAAGCATGAGCCACATCGCGTAAACATAGTCCTCCGCGTAGCCCCAATCACGTTCTGCATTAAGATTACCTAGCTCAACAAGTTCCTATCAAATTGATGGTAAGCAAAATTGATGGTAGACACCGACTTGTTTTCCGTGTTTGATCCTGGCAACAGCTCTGGTGATTTTCCTGGTTACAAAAGTTTCGCCCCTGCGTGGGCTTTCGTGGTTAAAAAGAATACCATTGCAAGCAAACATATCGTAGGATTCACGATAGTTTACAACAATCCAGTAGGCATACAGCTTTGCCGCACCTAAAATAAAACGTAGAGACATTCAGCAAGTGATACTATGTTTAACTTGTATTGCAAACGGATGGCTTACTATAGGGCGATCGTGGATAAAAAGGGGTCGTTTCTGTTTGAGGAATTTCAGCCACTTTCCCAAAAAGCTCGCTTGTTGAGGCTTGGTAAAATCTAACGGATTTCTCAAGTCCAGCTGAACGAATAGCTTCAAGAAGACGAGTAGTGCCAATGCCAACGACATCCCCAGTATATTCACTCAACTCGAAAGAAACCTGGACGTGTGACTGCGCCGCCAGATTGTATACTTCATCAGGTTTTATACTTGCCATCAAATGCGATAGATTAGAACTGTCGGTCATATCACCATAGTGCAAAAAAAAGCTTTCTAAAACATTTATCAGGTAAGGATAAACGTACGTTTATCACGATAAACGACTGGATCTTGGTAGAGATGATTTACTCTGTGAGTATTGAATGAACTTGAGCGCCGAATAATACCATGAACCTAGAAATAATTAGTTGTTGGAAGATTTTGTTACGTGATAGCCTTTGGATAACAGGAGTTCAGCAAGATAAGAGCCATCCTAAACATAAGGTTAAAGTTAACGACAGACGTGCCTGTCCTGTAATGCCGGTGATCAGTGCAACTTTATGAGACCTTTTTTCTCCAGCAGGATTCACAACATCCGAAGCCATAACCACACGAGAGCAAAATCACAGAAAGTGACCAACACAAAAAGGAGCATGTTGGCCTTGAAAAGTATATTCCGGATTTAATAAACAAAACAAGCCACTTTTATCCTTCCAGAATCGCAATGTCCAAAAAAATTCGTCAAATATTTAGAGATCTTTAATTATTTTACAAGGATTAGGATGAAGGGTAGGGTGTGGTGTAGTGCACTCGTACTGCTTCTCCCACGTTTGACTTTGGATATCTTTTACACTTTTCACTTCATCGTTAACACTGTAGTTATTTGTCCTATCGTATGCTGGGTCTGTTAGCTAAACTGCACACCTGTACCTAGCAGGCATATCCCTAATGCTTGGCAGGGCTCCGTGTGAAGGTTTTTGTTCCTTAATTACTGGAGCTTGTTTCTGACAGAAAATGCATTCTAGTAGCTCATGCTGTCAAATACCACTGTTAATCCGCTACAGTTGAAGTGAATTCAAAGCATGCTCGTTGGTTGAAGAAAATACTGTAACGAAACTTAATTAGAATCCATTGCATCAAGAAGGAGGAAAACACTTGGGTAGGGTCCAATTCTGATACTTAGTGATCTCATAAACAGGTTTTTCCCCACGTCTACCTTTTTTAAAGATTTTTATGTGGAAATGAACATTTTTAAAGATTACAAGGTAGATTTTCTGAAGAAATGTAGGCCAGTAAACGGGCTAGCTGGACAACGCTATTAAACAACTTTCACCAACACTGACAGAACTCCACTTTGCAAGATCTTCTCTGCCTTACTTGTTTCGCCACTCACCACCCTATCCCCCCACCACAAAAATGGTGTAACGAGGAGGTGACCTTCACTGCACGCTAAAACAAAGTCATTAGTAGTGGTCGTAGGCGACTGATTGACTTCACGATGCAATGGCTTGATGCGAGAGAATAAGAGGTGCCTCTGGTAGTGTAGCATGGTGTAGCGGGACACTATCTACAGTGGCGGTGGTGGTAGTGTTCAGTTAAGGGGGATGGACGAACCTGACGATTAATGTGACTGTTGATTCCTCACACGGTGGCGAGTCGAGTAATTGTATAGGCAATTGTGAGCTAGCAAAAGTGCTTGTCACGGGGTACTGGCTCAAATGGCAGAACGTTCGCTTAGCATGTGAGGGGTTCGTGTGGTAATCTAGCATTTTTGGTCTGTGTGTTCTCTTGTACATGCTTATGCTACTAATGTGCCCTGCGTATGTTTGTGCATGTGTGTGTGCTAGATATACCTCTTGTACTGCACGTTCAGGGTTGTACCAATAGGCTCGTGTTGTCTCGCCGTTGTCACAGCTCAGCTAAGCTGTTAGTATTTTATAGGCCACTGTTCAAGACAACCCAACAGTGTGTTATTCGGACGCAGACTGACGCTTTCCTTTCTACTTTGCACACCATGAACCCATGCTGTTCCACTTTCCTCTAACTCACTGTTTTCATTCATCCCACACACGAGTTTGAATTCCTTTTACACTTGTCGCTTTTCTGATCAATAATCACACCATCTCATTTGTAACACACCATGCCGACTTACTTCCGGCCCCTTTTCTTTCCATCCATGTCACTGCCTTGACACCCCTTGCCAGTCCTCTCGACTCCTCCCCTCGCGTCGCACATTCCTCCCCTTCACACACAGCATTATGCCACAGTGCAACCAACACCAACCCCTCTTCTCGTTTATTGCCAGAAATAATATGACGAATCACTCAATTACCCAATATTTAAGCATTTGTCTTGCCTATTTGTTATACTGCTTCCAATTGGAAATATAACCTTAAAAGCAGCATTTCAAAATGGTTGCACAAGGCTAATACCTTGTTCATTTAAGCTTTTAAGATAACTAAATTGCTTCAACTGAGTCGCATACATTTTAGACCCCGACAGTGGGAAAGACAGATGAATGAAGGGCATTAGAAAGGCAAGTATTTGCAAAAGAATAAAGAGCACAAATTCACCAGAAACGTTACGCGTCCGTGAGCGCCATGGAGTATCCATAGCTCGCAGCCGCTAAGAGCACATTACCCTTCCCCACAAATGATACGAGCCGCGGCAGCGCCACACACCAGTCCTCCCGTTCCGAGAACACCGATGAGGGCGCGTCACCTTCTACCACCACCGGTGCCGCCTCCACCGTCAACGCAGTACCACAATTTCCGTGCTCGTTCCAGCCCCACATCCACACCTCATTCTCGCCCACCACAGCGAGGCAGTGCTCTGCCCCTGCTGATATCAATCGAACGGAAGAGGTGGGCAGGGCCACTGGATGGGGTGTGGGGTCGAAAATGCGACCACTTTGTGGCCATGCGATGCTTGCTGTCGCAACTGCATTGACCGTACGTCCGAGCTGACCAAAGTCACAACGACCCCAAGAAAAAACCTTTCCAGTTTCTGTACAATAGGAATGCACCAAAACACAATGACTGAACCACACAACCACATCAATGCCTATCACTTTCAATTCCTTCCTATTTACTATATGCTGACAAATACTAGAGACCATTACATTGAAACCTTTTACCATGCGGCACCAATTCTAGTAATCATAGTGCACATCTGCAAAGTCACAGGAGTCAATGCCTATGTTGCAAACAGTTAGAAGTAGCGCGATAAACATATAAGCAAGGTTTTCTCACCTGTGAGCACAAGAATATGGCTCCAACCAGACTGCACATCGACAATGCCTTTGTTGAGAAAGAAACTGCTGGGGATCCACCGCACGCGATCAGTCTTTCTGCAAAGTCCCTTTGCCTCATCAGCCACAGGACCACCCTGTCCAAATCGCATATCTCCCCACACACCAACACATCCATCGTCTACATGGCGGCAGTGAGAACTTGTACCATGTACTCACCTGTCCATAAGACAGAATGCTGTCCGCCAGCCACACAGCCCACAATTTTGCCCGAGTTCTCCGCAACAACCTCTCGAACCTTACCACCCTTCCATTCGTACACTTTATCCGTGCCTACAATACCAGCAACTAGACAAATCGAGGCTTTAATACCTACTCGAAACAGCAACTACGTGGTGCAGTCCCGCCGCAATATGCCTTGTTTCGACAATATCGAACACAATCGGCGATAGTGCACCCACCCAGGAAGGTGTTGAGTTATCAAAAGCAAAACCAGGCCTATTGCGGCCCCGAAAGTAGAGTTTCCCACTATTTGAAAGAACGATAAAGAAGTCCCAACCACAAGAAAGAGCCTTGATGCCCTCATCCACTTTGCCCACCATCCGGAATGTGGTCTGCTGCTCCAATTCCTCTCTCGGCTGCAGCTGGCCGGCTGCCCAAATCGCAGAATCTAAGCAAGCAAGGAGAATGACAGACTGAAGTCACTCACTTTCGACAAAAACGGAAAATGTTCCACCTCCAGCAAAAAGGTCGGGTTTCAAGGAGATCGGAACACGCGTCGGTGTCGCCTTGTCTTCGGTGGAGCCAATGGCAAGCTGACCATGACTATTTGCACCCTTACGGATAACAAAAAAGTACTTCATCCATATGAGCACCAAAATTTGATAACACACAACTTTCTGAGCATAGCCGATTGAGCAGCCAACATTGCACACAAAGTCGGCCAACATAAGATTGGCAGCAACGATGTCAAAAGCAAAGCACATCACAACTAAAGAATAAGATACCTTACAAAAGATGAACTGTGATTCTTGTGTTGGAAAGATGTTATAACTAATGGTTTAGAAGAAACAATTACAACATCAAATTCATTCAACATACTAAAAGAACTGTTCAACACACCACTAGAAATCACGATGCAAATCGTTGGCAAGAAGCAAATGTATAGCAGTGAGAAACATGACACTGAGTTGGAAATAAACCATTCCACTAAATGGGAGCAAAATCATGTACCTCACCCATGCATACATCACCTGACCGCCCGAAAACACCACGCTCAGTCACACACTAACCTTCAAGTATCAATCTCGACCTTGGCTCCAATACCAAGGCAAAATAATTACAATTCAATTTTCTAACAGTGCACAAATGTAAGTTTTCGCTGATAGTATACTTAGTTTTCATTATGTACAGGCATGGTTCCGAGTGTTAGCAGCTGCAAGCACTGCTTCTGCTATTTTAATAACCTCACGGCACTAGCTAACCTTACTGTGTGTGACCTGGAAGTGCACACATCACATACCTGTGTATTTGACTCCACCTGATGTTACTCATTCTACTGTCTTTCTTGTTTTTATCAAGCAACTCGTTCGCTGACCTTCTTGGTGTCGAAGCACCAACGGCGTGTGAAGTGTGCAAATTATTCTGTCATGAGTTTATGCTACGCTACAACGCAACTGACAGCTCGGCAATGCTCGACTTTCACGGCGCTTCCAATAAGAAAGTGCCTTATTCCACATCGTATGCCATTGTGTAGTCAATTGAATGTTTGTAGGGAGCTGCGGCTGACAGAAATAATGCAGGACCCAGACCTGTGCACCAGCATGCTTCAATACAGACTGCACAATGAAAGAAAGGACAGTACTCGATTCCAGAAGTCTCGGCCACAAACTTTTGAAACCTTGCGTCAATTGGTGTAAGTGCATGGTTTACTTTTATCCACTACAGAGACCGTGGTGTTGATGTTAAGTTGGATATTCCACTGTCTCTGTGGGACTCGCCTTCTGTAGAAATATCCATGCTCAAGGAGAAGGTTTGTTCCTGTTGGCTGTCCCTACCATCCTTTTAGTGCGAACAGCTAGTCGTAGAATACGAGAGTTTGATCGAGGAATGGTTCTTCGATCACCATGATGAAACATCCATCGTAGATTACCTTTGCAGACAGCGTCTCTTGAAAAATATGCCTCTGGCCTGTCTCGATGAACCGATGCTGGTCGAATCAAGCCAAGAAGGGAGTAGAGGCGTGTCCTCGGTACCAAGTCATGAACCCAGCTCAGAAGACGGTAAGTTATTTCGGTTGCATGGCAAGTTGCTGTGCCAAATGTCATGGCGATTCATGTTCATAATGCAACCATTCATTGAGATCGGTGGTTTTTTCCTTACGTGTAATCTGTAAAACACTCAGGATGTGCTTTACGAAGTGACAGTGTCGCATTCTCAAAAGCCCCTCTCGAACCTGAAAAGTGGGGTAATGCAACATTTCGCACACCATGTACTAACGATTCCTCCTAGTCATGGCGAATAATCGAAGATGTTATGTTTTAGGTGCAGGATCTAAGGAACAAGCTGAATACTCCAATGCACGACCGTTGACGGAACTTTGATGCGCATTTTACCTCCTTCACTCCATCCCTGCTTCGGATTTTTTAAGTGCTTATTTCTTATACTTTTTTCTGTACAAGATAGTTTGGAGAGATTAAAGATAGCAAGCATAGACTAAAATGCACTTCTGTCCTATAAAATGTGTTGTGGATGGTTTTTTGGGGAAGTTTTATCTAGTAGGAAAAGGTGACGAGCTGTCGATGCCAGTTGTGTAATGTCTCCTTGTAGCCTTTATCCGTCTGCAATACAACATCGTTGAAAGTAGTTCACTTACTTACAGCCCTTGGCGACTACTGCGATTTGGGAATCACACTTCAACGTAGCTAATTCCGACCGTGGCTAGGAAATGCCTGCAAGACATCATGTGCCGTGACTACACCCCATGCGCAGACTGCACAGTCAGCATTAGTAATCGCATTAGACGTGAGTGATCGTAGTGCCTAAGAAGCGGTGGTGATCCCTTCGCGTTTTCCCTGTGTGGTCCAATTCCGACTGCCTTTATCTTCAAAGATGTATCCGCGGTGAGAATAGTCGAACTTATCTGTGTGGGAACTTTCTTTTTCATTAGGTGATTCCTATCACGTCTAATGTAGCTGTGTAACAACCGGTGTAAAGCGATGTTTAACCCGCAGACAACGTGCAGCTTCTCCCCGCACTGTAGAAACATTAGTTGCTTGCTTTAGGCATGAGAGGTGACGGTCTGTGAAGCTTCTTGCAGAAGATGCTGGATTTGTTCCCACCATTACCCAGCAATTAAGTTCTTCCAATGTACTCTGCGAGATACAGGCGATTACCATCATCACCTCTCATCTTTTGTTAGCAATTCATCACTTTCTTCCAATGGATCATTTCTGATTCAACTCCAACAGTGAAAAGCGAATTGTCAGAAGCATTGTGTGCAGCACTTCTGAAGCAGATTGCCTTAATCAGAAGACACACCGACTAAGCAGTGGAATCTGGTAATCGAAGCCTACCTCCACCTTAACTCAAAGCCCAGCAACACTTGCAGCAATTCACTCCAAAATACCTGAAGGAACCCAATGCCTCGCACTACCAATCACACCGTACAATCAATGGCGATAAAAAGGCGGTGAACCCATCCCAGCCTCCCGTACTGCCCCTTCGATTCAGCAGTGCTTCCACATTTCATCCACGTTGTCCAACCATTCAGCCAGTGATGGTCCAATGTACCGATACGCTTCGTCCGCACGCTGATAGCAAAAGACAATCCTCGGATAGACCAACCTCTACTCACATACTCTCCCAATCAATGCATGTGGCAGAATCAATCTAGTGTTTCGCTTACCAGAACCACTAGACACTGGTAGGATCTTACGCCTAACTCACCAATGTCATCAGATTTTGCCGGCACAGCCGCGGCTGACCATCACCACCAACTATGCAACTCATTTTCAAGCACCTAGCACAAATGACATGATAGGATTCTGATCAACAAATCATGGCTAAAGAAACCGTGCAGGAAAAGGACTAGGAAGAAACCAAAACGTACTCATACCACCTGATACAAAATTGGTGAATCAAGGCGTGACAGCTATAAAAGTGGTCAAGAATGCTTCCTAATCAACCACAGGATTCAGGAGGAATGCTGCCCGATAGGCTCCAAAATGAGGCGCGTGTGCCTCTAATGTCACTCCTTCCTACCTCCCTCTCCCAGGGAAGCATTTCGAAGTTGCAGCAGCGCAGCGACCCACTCGCGCACACAAGGGTAAGTGAAAACGCCCTCAGTAGCCGTGAAAAACTCCTCCAGCCAACCCGGTTTCTGCGCCTCCAATTCGTACTCGTATGCCTGCAAGATCATCTCAAACTTGTCCAAATCCTTGCACACCACCGCCTCCGGCGTCTTCCTCTCCTCATACTCCTACACAAGGCGAGGAAATTGAGGAATTAATGTACAACCAAAAACCACAAACAATCCACTCTTAGCCATGACGCACTTTTCACTGATGCTCTGAACTTAACGAAAACAGCATACGAAGCGTTAAAGCTGCTTCCGATCAAGGATAATGAGACTAGTAAATGCCTGATGAGCCAAAACTAGGAGGGGTAAATCGAAAATGTGCCACTTTATCGTTTTTGGGCTGCCAATTGATCCTTCCTCTTAACAACTAAAAACATTAGCTTGCTTCACACCTATTAACCTGATGATACCCCATTGAAAGACCACATCTCACCGGCTTTTGCGGGTGTAGGTGCTTTAGCATACCAAAACGATAACACTTATCGGAACATACTAAACACGACCCACCAACATCCTCTCATATCTCCACCCATACCTTTTAGACTACAATCACCTCGAGGTTAGTCTATTTTTTCAATCACCTTGATCTACAAAACCGTTTTCACTTTTTACCATCTTTCCCAATTGCGTTCCAGTATGTAAAATGCAAGTGACTCACCTTCCATAAACTGACCAGTTCGTTGCCCAATTCTGAGGGTAGCTCTTTGCACAGGGAGATGAGGGCAGCCTAGAGAATCCGCAATGCAACCACCTGTTAAGGCGATTTCTTTATCAATCAAAATACGATCACTACAATACTGTCAAACGAAATAGTAAGACGCTAGGCACAGTTCTCAAACCAGCATTTTATGGAGTTTTGCCAGAAAGTCAGCACTACATACGTTCCTCACGTTGCTTCAATGCGTCAATGTGGACTAGTATGGAGGCAAATTGGACTACACTCTGGAACACACAACCTTTTGCCTGGAAGCAGCTAAGAACATTATGTGTTGACCGCCACATCTATCATTTCACTGACACAATGGCATTTTAAATATCTGTGGATGCAGATTGATTAAAAAAACGAACCCACCTCTTCCCGAGCATGTTTCTCCTCCACAGAGATTCCACAGAAGGGAGTGATGTCACCAACAACGCATTCTGCCAGGTCGTGAATGATAGCCATCTTCATCACCCTAGTGCAAACAACAACAGTCAAAACCCTTGGATATCAAATCAAATATCACACACAAAGGCAACCATGTAGTAGATGCAACCGCCGTCTACTTCACTAACACCATCTCCATCAACTCAGGTTATGGCTGAAAACAACGAGAACTTTGCTGCGTCCACTCACTTGATGGGGGATAATCAAGTATTCAATTTGGCCACGATTCCAGGATCGCCTACCTCAGCACAAGTTGATGAGCAATGGCATTCCACTTCAAGTCTTCTCTTCTGATTATTGAACTGACACTTTCCTTCCGTATTCCATATGCTTGGTAGTTTTCGTTATTCTCAGACTGATAAATCAAAGGCCACATTATTTTCAATTACGAGCTCCAACACGGTGTTGACAACTGGAAGCACTTACACTGGACCGATTTTGATGCAGTTCGGTGACACACCAACATGATGACGACTGCTTTATTTAAAATCACGCAGTAACTAACACCACGGTTTGACAACAATAACTAGTTCTGATTCAGCAAATCGTGATTGCAGATGCCTAACCAGCCAACGAGAGAGCAACAATGAAGAAACAAATACTCATTCATAACCCCTAAATCAGCCATACAGTTGATTACTCCCAAAATGGCACGCCGGACATCGTTAGCCGCCAGGACTCACAACTCCAGACATCGAAGATTTCATGCTCACTGATCTAGCATATACTAGTCAATTAAATCGCGCCTTCTTCTTTCAGTGCCTTTGGTACCCCTCATCGCAACCAAGGCACTGACAGGCAGCAAGCGAGGTGGATTCAATCCAACCAACCATTCTCATCACTTCATGCTCGCAATAGCTACGCCACACTCGGCCAGCCTAAGCATTATCAAAACGTGCCAAAGAACAGACACAAAAGCAAGGTAGATAGGCACCAGAAGAGCCAAGTGGTGGATTACTTGTCTGGCTTGAAGTCCTCCGTCGAGGGCAGGAGAGCAGAAAGAAGAGCCATACGGTACATGTGGTCCACCACATTCTCTGGCTCATTCACTCCGTGGCGTGTCCAACCCGCTCGCACCGTCCGCTAGACAGTTTTATTTTCATGAGAGAGAGGGAATAAAGGGTAAGAAACACACTGAGAACACACACACATCCGGTGGCCAGCTGGGCAGTTACCTTTCAAACACACTTATTCCATCCTCTGGCTAACTACAAACGTCTATTTAACTCGACCTTACCCTCCCAGCTACCGGCTACAATGGGGGACTACACGTTTATCCGGTCTCGCTAACCACCGCCGAAACCCATGCGACTATCAAGCAATTACCACAACCTCTATCAATTCACACACCTTAGGTGCATCATCTTACCTTTCCCTCCCAAAACATGGGTCAGGCTCATCCATCTAGGGGACTTACAACGTATGAAAACTAGCCTCCACCGTCTTTGGGCAACACATCGCCAGCCACCTCAAACGTAATTAAACCGACGCTACCAACACGCAGTCAAGGCATTGTCCTCTTTGCACAATATGCATGAAAAACACCCCATCGTCACACCCAACAAAACTTGGTCTTGGAGACTGCACTCGATGAAACGCCATGCTCCAAGTTGGTACGAATTTAAAACAATGCCTGAACAAACTGGCGAGTAAAGTATGCTGCTCTGGAAGCAGTACATCTATCACCCAATTCAGCAGTTCGCCTACAAAGCATACCAATTGCGCTACAACCACCGTAAACTTCATCAAGTCTACCTCAAGACCAAAGTACTTCGTCAATTGCGCCTGCATACACAGACGGTGTAAAACATTCCAAGCCACATAATCCACTACAGACGGCCTCGTGGTCACAAATCACTTCAAAGATAAGGAGAACAGATATATACGCATTTACATATGCATACATATACTCACATACCTTGATCTTACCACATGCAAGAAGAAAACGCAAGACGCTAACACCCGACATTCTACAAACAATTGCACATTTGAAACAATACACTCTAGAGTACAGTTGCACCAAAAGAAACTATTCACTCTGCAACGTATAATACAGGAAAGTACAGTGGTCTAGTCACTACGCATTCCGGCTTTTTTCAAAGCACCGGCTACATAATCAGAAACCGCGGTCGATGACATCGAGCCCAACCGCGAAAAGGACGACTTCACGCACTCATTCCACTTAAGGCAGGCTTCATATGGAAGCTAAGAAGCAAAAGGGAATAACGACGAAGAAGACAAACCTTCTGAACGGCCTCGGACACTTGTGGGACCACATATGTTTTCAAATCTTCATACACCTCGGCACCTTCAGACGATGAACTCCAAACACCTTTGGAGATACTGTAGTAAACTGCCCCGCCCGCAGCACCAACCTTGACGACAGCTCTACTTCTGAATGGCCTAAAAACAGGACCACGTACTTTGAGACCGCCAAAGCCATCCGTCACCCCGCACAAACAAACACTGATCAGATGACAAATGAGTGACCTTAATTTGTCTTGAATAAAAACGACATGTTTTTTAAAAAACATATTAATCTGTCGGTGGAGACTTGAAAATTTTAGGTGACAAGCTGCGTTTCTAACGAATCATAAAGGTGTAATACGTTGGCTATTTGCTCAACTGTTAGTTTGGGTAGAGTAACTTTGACTTAGCCATTGTACCTCGTCATGTGGGCGTGCCTTTAGGCCATGCCAGTAGCCTTGATGTTTTCTGTGCGTCAAATATACATGTTCTGCCATGGCATTATGTAATACGATAGTGGTTTATCTCTCGGTTCTGGTGAGGCGCCACTTTTGTACTTTGAAGTAGCCCCCTTGTACCTCACTGGGTGAGCTGGCCTTTTGGGCCATGCCAATAGCCCAGACACCTTCTCCGTGCTGAATATATGTATTCTGCCCGAGTATTGTGTCTTCTTTCGTCTTTAGGGAGTCTCGGGACGCTACAATTATATCTTCTTTCGTCTTCAGTGAAGTCTTGAGACGCAACAAGTGTCCTTTTTATGCTCCCAAAGGCTTGGTAACTTTTAATTAACATACTTTTATCTCCCGCCTTTAATCTGTGGGACTCATAGGTGAACGCGCTTATCACAACAGCCCTTCAAGAACTGTTCACTTCTAGCATACTTCTTCCATTTTAATAGAGAATAAATGGGGCTGGATGAATTGCGGCTACCTAAAATTGTGTTAGGCTGCGTAAATTACTATGGTGCTGATGGATCGCACCTGGTTGTATCCCCACCCACGCACCTGGCCACGAAACCACGCTCACGCTCCTTAGTCGTTCTTTACACGGACAAATCTGGCATAGCCTACCACGGCCTTAAAAAGGCCTCCCACGATACTGACCCCACCTCGCAATGTCGATCCACACCCCATCCCTGTGGCATTTCTATACATCACGACTCCTTGGTGAGGTAGCACCAGAACACACCACACCCTTCATCCACCATGGCTGGCAAACACATAACCAGTGTGCATCCACTGCTCCACAATGCAAGGAAGTCCGCACCAAGTAACTACTCTGTCACCCAAAATGTGTGGGTCAAGTACAAGCCTCACAAATCTATCAAATGTATTATAAAATAATAAAAACACAGAAGACCTGTAGTCAAAAGAATCAAGAGACTGTACAAGATGAGCTTGGTCTGTCGTCCACCGATCCAGCACTAACTAGATGGTCGTCAGCTGCAGACTCGAAGTCCGCAGCCACACGATCCTGAGCCCTCAGCGTCTGCATCGACGATGACATCAAACTCGGCACCATTGTCTGCTTCTCCACTGTTCTCTTTGCCAATAAACATTCCTTTTTCTCCTGTGACACAAATTACATGCCAGTGCATCAGTTTGCTGCACGACATAAATGTCGAAAAAATGAAACAGGACGCTACCAAATTTGAGTCTGAGCAAGCGGAGGGCAGGCGAATTGACCTTCTCTCAACCCGTACTGCATGATGGTGATTAATTGAATGCGTTTTCATTAGAAAGCGGACACTTTTCAGCTAGTCCTAGCTGCACTGTGATTGTCGATAGAGAACTAACCAAATGAATCGCCAAGGATGACGGTCTGAGTAAGGAACCCTTTAGCGCGTTGGTGATTTGCTTTACCGTAGGTTTAATTATATAGGCATTTCCGTCCTTGCAGATTGCCCTTCCGCTAGAGGATACATCCTTAAAGCCGTCTCAGTTGCTCTTTAACTCAGGAAGCCATAGATTTCCTACCAAACTTGCTTAAACGTAACCCATCAAAAACTTCATGCTTATGTATCTTTCATAATATTTAGAGAGTGGACTTAACTCGTTCCAAATAGACGCAATGTAGTCTATTACACTTTAGTGCCGCACGATATAACCCAATTTTATTAATGAATACATTCTTGTAGTGAGTTTTAACAACACTCTACGGTATAACAGTGCGCAAAAATGAAGTCCCAAAAGTCAAAATTACGAATCAGTGGCCAAACAATGTTGCTACTCATTTGCCTTAGTGAGAATCTGCATAAGTTATAGTGTCCTTGTTTTATTTGAAATGAAACTAAGCCAAAGCATACTGATAGATCATTTCACCATGTTTTCTTCCACCTCGGCCTTCGTTCCCATGGTAATGTCATGAACGGGGTAAAGTGGTCAGCCTCATGCTCGTCTAAAGTACACTTCTTCCTCAAATTAGATGACGTATGTTCAGTCAGTTAACTCAGTGATTCTTCTCTAAGCGGGGTATTCGAGCAAAATTATATATGGTGAATGTGAAGAAGAGCTGGGAGGCTCTATGCATGGGTCGAGGGACACTCGACGGAATGGAAGTAAAATTTGTCTTAGCTAGAGTGCCTAGGCATTTCAATACGGACATGAACTATTTAGGTCATGGGATCTTAAACCATTTTCTACTTTTTTAAATGCACATTACTGTAATGCTTCAACTATTTGCTTAATGTTTCATTCTGGTTTTAAGGACACTTAGGGCTCAGCGATTGCGCTTCTCCTGGGTGGCATGGCCTCCGGGCCGTGCCAATAGCCCTCCAATCCTTATATACATCAGCAACACATCATCTGTCCCAGTATTACTGCAAAAGGCTGGTTGTTTAACTCTCGATATTGGGAAAGGTGTCAATTTGGATGTCCTCCATCGCGCCTTCGCTGGGTCGGCTGGCCTCCGAGCCATGCCACTAGCCTCAAGCCCTACTGTATATCGAAAGTAAATGTTCTGCCCAAGTATTGTACCTTCCGTATTCTTTATAAAAATCTCGGTTCGCTACACTTGTAACAGAGGAGAGCCTGTCCGATTGTGAAGGGCAATTATCTTTATTTCTACTGCTGGATGATAGACCGTAGCTGGTGGAAGAAGTACACACGACGCGTATAATCAAATTGGCAGCGGCCCCTCACAGAAGGACTGAAAATGACATCTACTTACGGCAACCATCCTAGTCTCGATGTCTGCAGGAATGCTATTAACAACGAAAGTGGCACTAGCCGTGAACCAACTGAAGTTTCATTACAGAGTTGCCTACCGTGCCTGCATGAAGGCATTAAATATGAAAACACGCGTTACTGGTTGACATTTTGCTAGCCGGGTGGAAACTAGATAGTTGTGGAGAACGGCTTGGCAAGGAGGAATAGAAGTATAACTCTACTCCCACGGAACCATGTTAAAGTCCGTCCTCTGTTACAAAATTCTGCTTTTGGACCAGTGCTTACGCATCTAGCTATGGGTACTTGTAAGGGATCAGTGGCTTTACAGTCAAGCATCTTCTCGATGGCATTAGACATCGACAGCTGGAACGCTCGGGTCTTGGATGTTTTGCACAGCATCGATTACGTTGCGATGTGCAGGAGGTACGCCGTGGACGACGTTCATAAGTGGGGAGGGGCTTTGCAATACGTTCGTTGATTAACTCCCGGATTCGGAAACGGGCGATTTGGGGTTCCCGACATTGCAATGCCGGGCGGTCTAACATCAGAGCCATACCATCAGCCCTGACGGATTATATACAGTGAGCCTAGGTATGACGCCTTCTCTCATGTTCGGGTTTGCATTAAGATGCCACATTTAATAAAATAAATCGTCATAAACACTGTCTGAAAACCAAAAACTACTTGAAATAAACTTTGCAAACCATAAAAATGCAAAAACACCAAAAACTTTAACTTTCTGATGTATATTAATGAAAGTGAGGTTAATAAATGCATTTGTTCACTATGAAGCATAATAAAAGCGTGATTTCTGTTCACTTTAAAGTATTTCTTTAACTTATACCTATGCTTTTTTGGCAAAACATATATCATATAATTAAGGGTTTAAAAATCTACGGTATATGCAATGGCTCAAATTCCTGACGCTTTACAATATTTTGTTCTCTAACTCATTTCGATTGTGTAATTTTCATAAAATGTTTATGCATGATGCTATTTTACCACCCACGATTCCATAAGTGCTCACTGCTAGGTGCGACTATCTAAACACTACGTTTAATGATAATTGGCTCCTCCAAAATCTTTTTATTAGCCCTAATATGTGCCGCGCAATTTGCTCAGACCGATGTAATCGGGTAATGAATTTGTGGAATGTTGTTGCTTTCTCCATGCAGTAACCTTATTTGTTCTCCGATTTTCGAAGTACTCAACTTTAAATAAATAGATTTTTCTGTTTCTTACTTGTTGTAGTACCCTTGTTCGCCAACCAGGTCCGTTTTTCTATCCCACCGTTGCCTTTTTAAGAACGTGGATGTGACTAGCCTTCTGTCTAGTCACTATTCACTGGAGGAGCTTAAAAGAAAGAGCTTTGGCCTTTATTGAGTTTCTCTAAGTCGATATAAGTGCCTTTTGGAGTGTAGCTCTGAATAGTTTTGCATCTTTGGGCCGTGCTTCTCTGATATCGGTAATTTCATTCATACCTGTCGCTCACCTTCTGTTTAAGATGATTATCACCTGAGATTTTAATCTGTCTATCCCTTGATGCACTAAGGCTGAAAAGCGTACCCATTGGTTGGCTCCGTCACTGTGCTATTGTCTTGAATTTTTTCGCTCTGGTAATTTCGAATATACTTAGTCTACTTGAGGTTTGTTGTTTTGGAACTCGAGTACTTTGTTTACGCTTTCATAACTCATGAATCATTTTTCAGCAAATAACCGGTTCTCTCTTTAAGGTGGTGTAATGTACTACTTTACGAACTCGCCCACAATTCTTACTGACCTACCCAATGACCTTACTTGTTCAATTGCCTCCACTGATGACGGCAGGTTCATTGCCGTGTCTGTGAATAATGATGTCTACTTTCACTGTCAAAAGGTAGACACTCCATGATCATTCATTTCTCAGTCACTGACCCTTCTCGGCCTGTATCGACACAAACCTCAGTCTGTGGAAGCCGGTGGAAATTTTGTGTATATCGCCTGGAATAGCACTAGTGATATTCTTCTTCTTAGAGTAACTACCTTCTTACACCACTCTAATTTTCCTAGACTGACTTAGGATTCCTATTTCTTGTCTACTTGTCACTGAGAGAATTAGACCAACTAGATCTTGAAAAGTAGGTGAAGGGTTCGGAAAATTACTAACCATTTCCACAGATCTGCTCGAATCCACTATGAAATAACGGTAAAATCGGTAAAATCCTTGCAGAAATTGGGTCAGTTTTTTTGGTGAGTCTGTGGTCTCAGTAAGTAACCGTTCTTCCATAGTTGCATTCCAACTTGCAGTAAAATAATCGCCGGAGACAGGAGCGGTCGTGTGTTCTGTCTCAATTGGCTCGGGGAGGTGCTGCAACAAGAGGGTTTTGATCTTCATGCCATTGCCATTCAATCGGAGTTCGGTAGCAATGCAGGTAACACCCCTCCTCCGACTTCTGCTATCTTTTCAGTTACGAGTCACATTGACCTGTCTGTGAACTGCCAGAATTTTCACTGGGCACCCACATTGGGCGGCTTTCTTGTCACTCTCACAAACCGTAGACTGCTCTTGGTCATCCTTCCCCTATCTAGACTGATTCCTGAGGTTTGTTTGAGTTTCCTTCCCCTCTTTTATTCGGTCTTAGTGCATAAGGGTGATTTGGTTGACCTCTGTGGAAGATCCTTCTGCCATCTCTGTCAATAGTCGATTTCGAGGCTTCGCCGTTGGAACCTCTAAGTGAGTTTGTGTCTGTCAGACGCAGTTAATCACTTTTTCAGGGGTCAAATAACCTTTTATCACTTGGAGGAGACGTCCAACATGCCCATTAGCTCGCTGAAGTTTCGCCTTCCTGATCCTGTCAGGCATGGTAAGTTGTCGTTGCCAAAAAATACGGGGACGGTTCAGCTAAGCACACAATTTATTTGTGCTTTTCTGTATTCTTGTGCTGCTGATTACTCATTCTTGTCGAATTCTTAGTTGAAATGGCTCATTAATTTGCGTAATTTGAACTTATCTAGGTGACTTCGTTGTTAACACTGTAGCCATTTATCCTATCGTTTGCCAGGTCTCTTAGTTAAACTGCATACCTGTACCTAGCAGGCATATCCCTAATGCTTGGCAGGGCTCCGTGTGAAGGTTTTTGTTCCTTAATTACTGGAGCTTGTTTCTGACAGAAAATGCATTCTAGTAGCTCATGCTGCCAAATACCATTGTTAATCCGCTACAGTTGAAGTGAATTCAAAGCATGCTCGTTGGTTGAAGAAAATACTGTAACGAAACTTAATTAGAATCCATTGCATCAAGAAGGAGGAAAACACTTGGGTAGGGTCCAATTCTGATACTTAGTGATCTCATAAACAGGTTTTTCCCCACGTCTACCTTTTTTAAAGATTTTTATGTGGAAATGAACATTTTTAAAGATTACAAGGTAGATTTTCTGAAGAAATGTAGGCCAATAAACGGGCTAGTTGGAAAATGCAATTTCAACCCCTTTTAGTCTGATTGGCCCCATTTCACGAAAATGGTTTCGAGGAAGATTTTGGATGGCGCACAAGTTCAGTTTTAATGGGGATGTTATGATCGAATTGACATAAATTATATGAATTCTGTAAAGTGCGACAAGTCAATCTCACCACCTTTATTTCACAGCTGCCGATATCTTCACTTGACCTCCCTCCTCCTAGGTATCGACAAGATGCCAGACTCTGTGAAGACACTGGCATGGTCACCCGACGGTTACTGCCTTGCTGTGGCGTGGAGCACTCATGGTATGGCTCTGTGGAGTGTTTTCGGCTCATTACTCTACTCCACCCTTCTTGATCAAACTGAAGTCACCCGCTTCCTTGCTCCCCTCAACTTTGTGAGCTGTTGACTACTTTAAACATTGTCACAATTATCACTTATGTTTAATACCGTTTAATTCAAAATGATAAGTGAAAACTCAAGTCCCAAGGTCTCCGCCTCAGGACAACAAACAAAATAATTACTTTTTTCCAGTGTTGGACACTGAAGGGGTTCCACTTGTGGACAATTTCCACCTTCGTCGACGATCAGGATCGCCGTGCGCGGGAGGAGTGTTTGAACGCCTTCAAGGAGCGAATTTTGCACAGCTGCAACCCTCTGCCTCAAACACAGCTTCAGGTGGCCAAAAATGTGGCGAAAATGCGCTCCGATCTGCATCTTGATGGTGGTAGTGGTGACCACAATCGCAACTTCCTCATGGTTTTTCATTTGGCCAAGTCGGTTCTTGCTTCCAACCCAACAGAGGTTCGCTTAATCTTCCGTTTTTCAGTCGGTACACCTTTGTCTCCCTTAGGTTTGGAATCAAATTAACTCTTCTGGAGGTGGTACATTTTTGATCTTGCATTTCGTTGATCGAATCCATCCCATGTCAACTGTTTGCAGTGTTTTCGAATGCCATGCCACTAGACTGGCCCCTTAAAGATATGCGATAAAAGGCTTACATGATTTGGAAACACGGTTTTTTTTTAGTCGGATTCTATATAAGTTGAATCTGATTTATTGACTCCTTTAAGCATGACTGAAGATCTGCAGTGGTTGTTATTGGGTTTAGGACAACCACCTACATCTTCTACTGTGCACACCGGACGCTTTTATGGTCACCATTCGACGTTTTCTACACTCCCGACGAACCATGCTCCATGTTCCTTTGCCCTTGGCCTACATTCGAGCCAACTTTCCACTCAAGGTATGCTCCTTCTCATCATTCCTATTGAATTGACTCCTTTGTCTTGCATTTGTTGATCTTTACTTCCAAATACCGTCAGAGATGTAATGGGATGGGTACTTAAATCACCTCTACATAATATGCCACATCTTTTTGCCTTAGGCACGTTCTGATCCTTTCATACTATATGTCTCAACCGCGGAACCCACAGGGCTCTAGTTTTCACCTATAATATAGGATTTTTTGGAACGGCGCCTGATGCTCTAGTCCAGAAGACTGGTTGCTCAATGTGGCTTCGCTTTCATCTTTTTTGACGGCCAAAGTCCGTGGGGCTTTGTGCATTCGATAAAGTTGATGTAGAAATTACAATTGAGTCACTTACCACGGTTGTTCAATACATGGCCCCTAAACGCGCACGCAAAGCGCCACCGATCAACTGCGGCAGGCTCTCTTGCACTAGGTCGAGTTTTCACGTAATTGGCTTGTCCTTTCATCGTACCAGTCTGCCACTGTTGAATCAGTCTAATGAAATACCTTTCTTGACTTAACATCACATATGTGACTATCAAAAGTAGCTAGGTTATGCGCCAACCGTGTTTTGGCAATTCGAATATGAAATAAACCTACTCTTGTGACATTTTTTGTAGCTAATGGCTGTTGAAATTGAGAATTTGTGCTCATTACTATAAAAACTGATAGATGGTCAGACCTCAAGTCTATTATCAATTTTAGATATGATTAATACTAAAGTGGCAGTTTTATATACCATTCATTATTTCAGCAGAACAATCTGAGGTGCTTTGTATCGCAAACGTGTAATGCGCATCCACCAGGTTTCAGCTCTCGATACCACTTGAGACTGCAAATCCACCTACTTGAAAGAACAGTTA